AAAACATGTGAAGGAAGATGTTTCCAGGAACTATACCTTCTACTTTGTTTTATTAGGATTTAGTATGGCATTGTCTGTATGTGCACAAAGTTGTATTTCTTTCTTCTTTGCCTTATCTTCTTTCACTATTTTACAAGTAAAAGAAAATCCATAAAGTAATTTGGAAAACGCATATTTCTCTTTTTTAAAAAAAAAACAAAACAAAACAACAACAAAAAAAACCCAACCAGAAACTCAGAACTTTGGTTTCCTTGCAAGAGCGGAGAGCATCACCGGTACTATAGCTTCCAGGAAACTGCCTCTCTTTTGGTTTAGAAATCAGTAGTATCAACCATTTTAGGGAGCAAAGAAACCAAGGCGCGATCTTAGAAGATAAAATACCTTTTAATTCAAATGCCTTTTAAGGTTCTAGAAATGATGAATCGAACATACTCTGCATTATACTTGACTGCAGCAGCCCTGAAAAATCATGTTCCCTCTCTGTGTTTCAAAAAATCAGCATCTGAGCTTTAAATTTTGTTTTGGAAAGACACTTAGTTCAGTATCTACCAACTTTACTTTTTCTCCTTCTGGTCCCCAAAGCACAGCTCTGACTAAAAGCAGGAAGATTTTTTTTTCTCCTGCTTTAGGAGACATCCAACTGACTCTGCTCTTCACTACAGCACCCAAGAGGCTAGGACATCAAGTCATCAAGACACCTTAGTCAAAAGTACTGATCTTTTCCAGTTGCTATTCAGAAAACAGGCCTTGAAAAAGATTTTCTTTAGGGTAAACTTTTTTTCCCCTTGTAGACTTAATTGTGTGACCTTTAGATCAACTGGCACTGTTGAATGCTTCTACTGTCACAAAACTTAAGGGAGCTTTAAGGGAACACACAATGTATTTTCCTTCACATCTCTTCTCCTTTTCTGCCGGCAGGAAAAGGCAAATGCATTTTGGGGCTGGTAGGAGTTGAATAGCAATGTGTTCATTTGTTGTTTGCTGCTTTAAAGTTTAGGTTCACTCAACCTGCATTTTCAGAGTAGAAAATATTGACAGATGGAAGCAGTCATTCAAAGTTTTTTCTGCTCACTTAGCCTTATTTAGCAGAATGACAACATCTATGCGAGGTCTGAAGGACTCAGTGGTGAGCCTGGCCCTACCCTCCACTTCAAGTGGTGGATCACTACCATACAGTTACACTGTACAGCTAATGCAGCAGCATCCCAACTGCGCATACCATCACATCAGAATAAAATTACAGCCTTGTCTCACATCAATATCCAAAACAGACCTTGGAAATGTAGACCGTTCTTAAGTTATTTTAGCCTTTCTCTCTACTAGCTGCTTACCAAGCTATTCATTTTGATGCTACGTTCAGTCTGCTTCACACTCTCTTCTTAGGTGTTCAGTATGACACAGAATTGCTTGAAAGGCAGTTAGATGCTACCAGTTTAGGAAGGATTTTGCAATATTTTTTTTAATGCAGAACATTACAGTCAGTATTTTTGCTCTCTGGGAGGCTTGAGTAAGAAGAGGGCCTTTTGCTTTCACTTCTGATGGGAACACATGATTTGGTGACAAAAGGAAAAAAAAGTGCTGATTGCCTTCCCAGACAATTAAGGGTAGAAAATAGCTCTGCTGCAATCAGTGACAGTGTATGAGTCACTGTGAAGAATAAGATTCGACATCTCTACAAGAGCAGTCAGCAATTCCAAAATTTCATCTTTAGTATCATCAGAGTTGACAGCCCCCTGAGAGATTTACCTTGCAAAGTTATTCTTTTGGTCTTTTTGTGGTCCCAGGCAGAGAGAAGCTTGCAGGTAGGTACTTGAGTTGACATGCCTGTCTTTGCAGACAAACCTACTAGGAATTTTTGACAGAAGCCTGGTTACTAGAGCTGTGAACTATGCTGTGAATTAGTCTGCAATAGTGTAGTAATTTATGTGGCTGTGTTGTCACACTGTGTACAGAGCTTGGAAAGTGTCTCCTGTTTACTGCAATTGAAGCATTTATCCTTGTTTCAGCAGTAAACTTAACAGCTGCTAAAAATAGAAGCTATCAAGATGTCACCTTTCACAGTAAGCAAAAGGAATGAGTCACATGAGATAATGATCTCTCAGTCCTGCAGAACACCTGAGCAGTCCTTGAACGCTTTAAAAATGCCTGCGCTGAGGCTCAGCTTTCTCCCTTTCCAGACCCAGCCATGCTACTGAATGACGTGACCGTCCTTCTCCTGGAGATTCTTGCCCCACCAGTGAACTATGGCGTCCAGGAGCATTCCCTAATCTACTTCAGCACTTTAAAATCAGCTAGTTTAGCCCAAACTAAATGAAGAGACATGGTGGATGAGCAGGTGAGGTAGGAAGAAGGCAACCAAACAGTAGCTGTGTTAAGGAAAGAGAGGAGGAGGAGGCAAAAAGGTAACCCCTCTCCTAGTTACTGAAACTGCGGAACTGTCACTCTTGCTGTTAGAGATGGAAAACCTGGAACACTTCCATTTCACACTTTTTACCTTTAGGTGCTCCATTTTATATTGTATGTGTAGTTGTATTGAAGAGCTTCTGCTCGTGTGTGATAAGCTCGTCTTGGGCTTGAGAAAGAAGAGCTTCTGAGAACAAGAATTAAAAATGCTCTGAGAGAGGAAAAAAGATAATTTTTAATCCACTCCTTCAGATGTGTATGTGTAAGTGGTAGACACATTTTGTGCTTTCACTTATGTGGAAGAGGAAGAGAATTTGTGCAGTGTGTTTGTACTTTTTGCCCATGTTGGAGAGCTGGGATGTTTTGAATCTGTCAGAAAAGATGTAGTTCATGTGAATTATCTTGTATTTGTGTAACGTGGATTTGAATCAACCATGTGTATGTGAAACCAGGTAGCTTGACAATGATTGATCACCACCTAGTGGCAACCTGTAAAATTCAGACTGACAACAATACAGAAGAGGACAATCTAAAATAGAAAACATGTCAAAAGGTCTGTGGCACTGCTTCTGAACGATGTATCTAACGGTTAGGCCTTTACCAAAGAAAGTATTTTAAATATCCACACAGCATTTTAAACACTTCGGTGTCACTGTTTGTTGTACTTAAGCGCCTGTGTGCACTGGATCGCAGTGCTAACATGTGGCAGGTGCCTCGGCTTGCCAGCTGCCTGCCCGAGGCTCCCAAGAGCAGTGGCAGTGTGGCAGGACAAGGTCTGGCGCTGCTTGTTTTGCTAGCACCAATGTTACTGGCAATGTATGCCTAACCACAGAGCCTCATGGCTGAAAGGTACCTCCAGAGGCCAGGCAGGCTTGTGCTCCTCTTGCTCAGTGTCTGGCTAGCCTGCTTCTAGAGACAGGCAGCAGTGGAGACTCCTCTCATCCTTACCAGGGCTTCATCACCTGTCCTGAGAGAAAGTCCTTCCTGATATCTGCCTTGAGGGGCTTGAATACCACTTGGTTTTCTGTGTGGTTCCTTCTCCTTGGGGTGTTTTACTGTGTGGTCTTACCACACTCCTATTCTCTGTCTTCTCTGAAGGGCAGCCTCCAAGCCTGGACATGGAGCTCCAACTGGGAGGGTAACAATGCTGCAAAGGCTGTAAGGGCTGCTACACAAATCTCGCACATTATATTCTTATTTATACATCACAGCTTTGCCTCTGCCCTTTTTGCCATAGCAGACACTGTCAGCTCACTGAAACTGTTGGCTTCTGTCCAGCCTGTGATTCACAGTAACCACAGATCTTTCGCTGCCAAACTGCTCCCTAAATAGGTGGGGTTTTTTCTCCTTTTTTGTTTGCACAGTCCATTATTTCTACTTATACAACTTTGCACCTGTCACTGTCTAATAGCATCCTGTGTTTTTTTCAGACCATACTTGCAATTTGTCAATTTTGTCCTCTCAGCTTCATGTCATCTGCAAATGTAATAACCAGAATTTATTCCATCATCCAATTTGCTAATGAAAACACTAAATATCCCTAAACCCAGGACAGACTGGTCAAATCCCCACTCAGTGGCTCCCCCTACTCCAATAGTAAATCACTAATAACTCCACTCTGAGTGCAACTCTGTAACCAGCAAAAATAGTTTCCTCCAGACTGTTTCCTTAGCTTACACACAAGAGTGTCATCTCAGACAGTGTCAAAACTTCTTCTGGAGTCAAGATACATGATATCATCTTTTTGTTCACATAGGAGCCTGTTAATTTGTTGTAGTACGAAATCAGAATGATCTGGGATTGTGTATAGCTGATAGATGCATACTGGCTGGTACTCACCTGTATTCATGTTCTACAGACTTATCATCTGATTGTTTCAGTATTTCTCTGAGATGGACGTTAAAGTGACTGATAATTCCTTTTTCCTCTGTTTTTGCCATACATATACACACACACACATATATCTCCCTGTGTATATATATATATATATATGTGTATCTCCTTGTATTCACCATGTATGTCATTCTCTGGTAGTCCTCTCATCGTCCCCTAGCCCAGCGCTGAGATTTCACCGTTCAGTTCTTAGTGACCTATACTGAAGTTCATCAGATCTATCTAATTTGAAAATATCTGATTTATCTAGGTGCTTTCTAAGTATGTAATTCAATGGTTTCAGCAACAAAGACAGTATCTGCTGCTTGGTCTGTAATAAACAAAGCACTACATCAGTGACAACACTGAAATCAATGGAAGTTGTTCTCATGTCCAGACTAAGCTCTCCATGTTTCTGTAATCAAGTGCAAAGCCAGGAGCAAGAGAACCCTGTGCTTCCCAAATGTCTTTGGAAATAGTCTGGTTGGGTGTTTTAAATTTCACCTTTGAGGTGGCTTACAATCTTTTCTTGTCACATCTCTTTGGTTGCTAAGAGAGGTATATATAAACCTGCTCCTGAGATAGCTTTTTGACAAGTGCTGTACTGCAGGGAGAGGGCAAAGCCAGCTGCAATTCTTGCTACCATATCAACACACCTGCCTTTGTAGGAGCTTACAGCACCAAAGCCATCCTGGGTTTGCCAGGATTTTCTTCAAAGGATTCCTTTATAACTTTAATGTGATTTCTGGCTTGGTCACATAATTGTTGCTCCCGCGCTGCTGAACGTATTTGTTGCACTTACACCTTGAAAGAGAGAGCATGGCCTGCTGGAACTTACCTCTGATCACGACACAAAGTGGTAGGTTGCCACATGTGTTGAGTGCATCCAGTGGCCAAGAGATGATATAGGTAGAGTGGATTTGCTTCTCCATGTGACAGCTCACTTGACACAACCGTAGTTCAACCTGAGACACCCAAAAGATGTGGAAGGGAAGGAAACACACATAGAAGACCACCAAGAGGATGACAGCGAGTCTGCGAGCCTTTTGTTTGTAGCAAACCTGCATGTGGAGCGTGGTAGCCAAGGCGCAAATAATAGGTGCGTAGCACAGGGTTACCTTCAGCAAGGGCAAGAAGAAGGCCAAGCTGGTCAGCAGCCAGTTATAACACCTGATTGTGCCCAACTTTTCAGAGCTGGTAAGGTCGAGGCATAAGGATCTGTTTTGTGCCTCTTATGAGGAGATCAAGAAGTTGATGGGGCTGACAGCTGCCAGTGAGATCACCCAAACAGCTGTGCAAGCCATCGCTGTCCGCTGCTTCCTCTGGATGTGGAAGAACTTCATAGGATGGACAATCACCATACAGCGGAAGGTGCTGAAGCAGATGAGGAAGAAAATGCTGCTGTACAAGTTGAAATGGAAGCCAAAGCAGATGAACTTGCACATGAATTTGTCAAAGATCCAGTGCTCCCCACTGGCGTAGTAGTGTATCAGAAGGGAAGGCTGGTGACGTAGAGCAGGTCTGTGAGTGCTAGGTTCAGCATGATTATGGTGCTGCTCTTCCGGCCTTATCTTGAAGATGTAAACACAAGTCGCAATGACGTTTCCCAGGAAGCCCACCGGGAAGATGATGCTATACATAATGGGGAGGTAAAAAGTCTTCAGACCAACTTCCACCTCAGTGGAGCTGGGAAAATCCCCTTCAGTGTTTTGCCAGTTGGTAGGGTTGGCTAAGTCATCATTTGTTGTGTTCATGTTTTTTCCTCAGTGCTTAAGGAAGAGAGAAATGTTGAGTGCTCACTGACAGATAAGATCTTCTCATAGCCCATTAAAACCAACAAGTAACCAGGTCTTTCCTTTCAACTTCCCATCAGCGCCATTATTAAAGTGCGTTTATTGAATAAGGAAAGGTCTTGCTGCTTTGATGAGAACTGATCCTGATCTAGAGGCCTTTTATCATATCTATATAGAGATAGATACAATTTTATTTTAAAATACATATTTTCAGGGAAGGGTCTACACAGGCACAATGAAGCTGTAATATAAGGGGTTCCCAGCCCCACAGTGTGTGATGTGTGACCCCTGGTTTATAAAGTTCACTTTCTTCTCTCATCAGGGGTCAAGTGGAGCACAAGGACAGACTAGTCGTGTTGTGCTACTGACCAAAAGCATAGCGAGGAATGTCCAGAACATAACAAAAGCTATTTGCAGCCTTGTTAGTTAAGTGGAAAACAGGGTGGATGTCGAAAGGTTTCCATATTCTTTTTGATACTGGAGTTGGTTAACATTTTTCTCCCTGCTCCTTAGAAACAACTGATAGAGGAATATTTCATTCTTTTAGTTCATTAACAAGATTGATGTTGCAAAGAAATAGGTCCAAAGAAAAAGGATGTTGCAATAGAAATTTCTATCCCTGTAAGATTTTTAAACGGTGTTTTGCTTTGACATTGGTCTTAGATAGAAGTTTTCTGAAACATCAGAATAAATTAATCCAACTTTGCAAAGCAGCCATTTACAAGATACAATATGGGACTTTAGCAGGATTCAAGGGAAGTAAAGATAGCCCGGTATATAGTCTCTACAACAGAAAATATGGGGCCACTGAAGCACGTGGCAAATAACTGCTAACATGGCACCCAATAAATTCATTTGAGTGAATGCCTTCTTTCTTTTAAAGTGGAGTAAATGTTTTGATGGAAAAAAAAAATTAATACACCTCTCATCTAATTTTGCCCAGAGGAATGCAACTTCTTACAGGATGATGCCCATCCTCAAATTACTGTGGCCTGGATATGTTAAAATGGATCCTACTGAATCACAGCTTCTATTTCTTGTTCCACTGTGAATTTTCTTGATGTAGCTTCCACCCTCACTCAGTTGTAAGATCTCACAGAGAATTCAAATTTGCATAGAACATTTGGTTCAAACATATTTAAAACACTTTGAAAACTGAAGCTGGAGCTTGAAGAGACATATGCCAAACACTGGCATTTGTTTTTAAAGAGCAAAACAGCTTCAAACCTCTTTTCATGGCTGGGGGTGGTGCAGGGGGTAGTTTGGATAAATCCAGTGGCTGTAATTCAGAAGAAATGCAGCGATACCGTTGTCCGCAAACAAACATCAAGCCTCTGGTACGGCTAATGGTTAACCAGGCTAATTGCAAAGGCCCCATCCTGCAACACAGGTCATGGCATGCTGTATGCCGCTGGAAGCACCAGGGCTGTGCACACCACGATGTTTACAGTGCCCAGCTATTAAGTGAGCAGAAGGGCAAGGCTGAGTGCTGCTCCTCACATCACTTTCTTCATGGTTTTGTAGGACTCCCATTTTGCCAGCAGCTTTTTTTCCACCAACCAGCATGCTGCTGCAGCAAATCTGTAGGGGCTGGGGAGAAAATACCTGTGATCGCCAAAGGGTGCGGCAGTGGCACTCACTTGCTGCAGTCCCTACTGGCAGCCACACACTCTCAGGTGCTTTCAGAGCTGTGCCCTTCGCTTTTGGTGAGGTATCTGATAGGGCTGGATTCGGGTCGAGGAACTCCCTCCCAGGCCAGGCCACTTCCCAAGCCCTGCATGTGAAGCGCGGACAAGTATTGCAAGAAAAGCACATGGGTGTGGGGTCTCGGTTCTGAACTGCCCTAAAATTACATGCAGCCTAACAGGTCACCACAGGGACCAAAGAAAGGAGATAGCAAGTCTTTGCTATTGGCCTTATTATTTTGCTGTCTGAATTATAAATAGAATTTAGACAAAACTTAAATCTAATTAAGGAACAGTTTGTGCTGTGGCAGATTTTATCACACTAAGTAATTGGCTATAATGGGCCTTCTGCAGCCCAAGCTGAGGGCAAATGATGTATGCTGTAGACACATAATGAACTTTAAATAAATTATCCAAGAGCAGAACTTGTAATAAAAGGGAACTAGATTATTGAAATGGAAACCCTCTTTCAGTCTTAACAGTGGAGTCACTGCTCTATTACATAGTATTCTTTACTGAAACCAATTGATTGGAGTCACTTTAAAAAATGTTGCGATTGCATGTCTTTAATTGCAGTCACGTATAAGAGAAACTTGTCTGCTCCCGCATTGTGATAATTTAATTAGAGTCTGCTGGAAATAAAAGTCAAATGGCTGCAGCCATGGCAAAGTAACCTAATGCCTGTAATTGGACTATATTTCACACAGATGTGTTGCTGAATAAATTAAATAGGCTTTGGCTTGCAGTGTTCAACTCTTCCACTGGCTCAGATTTAAAAGACACAAATAATATATTTAGGGATGAACATGTGAGCCCTCTGTCTCTTACCCTTTATAGTTCAGGGATGTATCTCCACACAGAAAGAGTATGTGGGTTTGAGTATTGGATACATCCCAGAGAAATTTAATTTGTTCCACGCTTCCATCATCCTGTAACCCTTTGCTCATCTCTCTCCATTTCACCCTGCCTCTAAGTTCATACCTTTAAATCAAAATGGGCATTTTACCTGTAAATCCTTGGTGTTGTCTTCTCTCCTCTTCATAGCTGGTTCCTTAAATACCCCACTCCAGCTGGCAGAGTTCGCTTTTAAATTCTACAGGCTTGTGCAGTGAGACTGTCTGGGAAAGCCGTAGCAACCCCCCTGGGGCTATCAGGCAGGTTGCAGGAACTTTCTGCCTCTCTTCCCAGGTCTCTGCCAGGTAAAGGTGGCATGGGCTCCACAGTGTTGAGTGAGAGCAGCTCTGTCCCCTCTTGCCTAGGGCTAGCTGTCATGTCCCCAGTGGCAGGGCCATGCTGGTGTTGGCTGTCCTCCTGTCTGGCCTCTGCTTCCTGTGTGGGACGTAGAGACCTGCCCTGTGTCACTTGCAAAATTGGTTGGGACTGCCTGTAACCTGTCTGGTTTGGCTGCAGTGGTTTGTTAAAGGCACTTCCAGCCCTTGGCGAGGGAGGCAGGCCAGCAGCACTAAAGCAAGCAGAAGCAGCATCACTGCAGTGCCCACCTGAAGGAACACCTGCTTCCCGAGTCCCAACTCAGGGGCAGGAGATGGTGGGAGAGGTAGGGAAGAGCAAGGTTTTGAACTGGCAGGAGCTGCCCTGCAGAAGGCTTGGTGAATGCTGAGAGCTGAGATCAAAGCCTTACCTCTCAAGGAGGGTGAAGGTACCCATGCTCTCCAAAATGAGAGCTTAGTGGGAGCAGCAGCCCCTTCTGCAGGGAGGGACCTGACTGAGCAGGGATTGCGCAACGAAGGCACGAGCGGGGTCTTCTGTCTGGGAGGGTTATCTAAGACCATGTGCTTGTGAGGGCAACCAGGCTGGAGGAGGGCTTTGCTGGAGAAATCCAGACAACTCTGCTGGACAACTATCCTGACCGTACTACATGGGTAATAACACTTTTCTGCTGGTATGATTTGTCCAGAGGTCAGAGAAGTGAAGAAGCCTAGGAAGGAAGTCAAACTATGTTGTCCTTTTGCATATGGTTTGAAAAAATACCCAACCTGCTGTGGGATCTGGAGCATTTTACAGTCCCCAAATATCCAGGCAATAAAGCAGAAGAAAGTCATCACCTCTTTGAATGTGATGGCCAACCCTTAAGAAGGGGCTAGCAGAAGTCTCCTCTCTATTTGGAGAGGGAAGGGCGGGCACAGGCACCTTCTGGGGTGCCCTACAACAGGGGTTTTATTTCCTTTGCACAGTGAACTGGTGAGGAGCATGGGCCCACCCAGAGGTGCCAGGGTAATTATGGTGTGGAAGTTAAAGATTTTATCAGATGACTTAGCTTTCCAGTGTGTAGCTGAGACTATGACATTGCGGAGATCTCCTACAGAGCTGGTATTTACAAGTTTTGCTTGATCTTCTCTGCCTCTTCCTTTTCAACAGGTTTTGACTCTTGGACTAACTGTGCTCTGTTGACTTACGCCTTGTTTTAAAGCAGTGATCCTTAGATCAGTTTCCGGCTTTTTTTTTTTTTTTTCCCACGAAGAAAACACTTTCAAAAGCATAAGCATTTGATTTTGAATTAAATATTTGCAAACTTCTGTGAGCAGTTAGGAAAGTTATTATCTTTAGATGGAAATGTTTAGATGAGGCTGAAAAGAACTTGAATGTTTTCCAACACTGAACTTAATTTCAGGTCTTGTTTGAAGCTATTATTTACTTTCTCATGATGGTGAGAGATGTGAACCTGGAAACATGAGCAATTATGTACTGCATAATGTAGTGGTGAATCAGGCTCAAATTATTTAGTAAATATAACTTATAAAATGATTGCATAACTGTCCTGTTTCTTTAGCTGATGCTTTCAGTGTTTGCCATCTTCACATGAATGACTTTCAGCTTACTGGTTGTACATAATCTGTTCTTATTAACTCTTTCTGGTATAAGTTTGGCCACATCAGCCTTGAATGTGAACATTACTTTTGGACTCCTAAATACAAATATTCAGAAATAAACTGTCAGTTGTCAATATATCTCCGAGTACTAGCTGATATGAGCAACCATTGTTTATAGAAAGAGTTGAACACACTTTTTACCATGTGACTAGCTACCAGATAGTAGTAATTTTATTACTCTGCATCACGGAAACTGTAAGTTCTGCGAAGTGCAAAACCACCCTTTGCAAGGGGCATATGTGGAGTCACGGAGAGACCAGGGACATGAAGCTATATATTCCTAGGAGGCCCAGTTTATCCCTACACACATAGATGAAGAACTTCCTGCATTTTATTTATAAGTTCCTGTCAATGTGTAAAGGATATCAAGCTCATTGCTCAGGTTTTT